ATTATACATAGGAGATCATATCCCCCCTTATTATTATACATATTATACATGGAGATCATATCCCCCTTATGTATTATATCATGGTGATCATATCCCCCCTTTATGTATTATACATTATGTATTATACATGGAGATCATATCCCTCCCCCCTTATGTATTATACATGGAGGTCATATCCCCCCTTATGTATTATACATGGAGATCATATCCCCCCCTTATGTATTATACATGGAGATCATATCCCCCCTTATGTATTATACATGGAGATCATATCCCCCCTTATGTATTATACATGGAGATCATATCCCCTCTCATCTCTCTTTCTGGAGTCTATACCTCTCCTAATACAAGAGAGGAGTTTGCTTGCATTAGAACCCGCAGCTTGTCATTGCTGCCATTATTCAGCTTGTGATCTACCAGAACCCCCAGATCCTTCTCCATCATTGATCCCCCTGTTGTCCCCCCCTAGTATGTATGATGCATATTCTTAGCCCCCAAGTGCAGAACCTTACATTTACCAACATTAGCCCTCATTGGCCCCATAGTCCCCCAATGACACAGAGCATTGAGGTCGGTCTGTAAGTTGGAGACATCCTGTAAGGACGTTATTCCCCGGCACAGCTTGGTGTCATCTGCAGAGACTGAAATGGGATTTATAATCTCAGACCCCATATTGTTTATAAATGTATTAAAAAGTAAGGGTCCCAACACTGAACTTTGGGGTACCCCACTAATGACACTGAACCTTGAGGTCCCCCACTGACACTGAACCTTGGGGTCCCCCACTAATGACACTGAACCTTGAGGTCCCCCACTGACACTGAACCTTGGGGTACCCCACTAACACTGAACCTTGGAGTACCCCAATAACACAACCTTGGGGTACCTCACTAATACTGAACCTTGGGGTAACCCCACTAATAACACTGAACCTTGGGGTACGCCACTGACAACACTGAACCTTGGGGTACCGCACTAATACCACTGAACCTTGGGGTACTCCACTTACACTGAACCTTGGGGTACCCCACTAATACCGAACCTTGGGGTACAACACTAATAACACTGAACCTTGGGGTACGCCACTGACAACATTGAACCTTGGGGTACCTCACTAATAACACTGAACCTTGGAGTACACAACTGACAACACTGAACCTTAGGGTACCCCACTAATACTGAACCTTGGAGTACACCCACTAACACTGAACCTTGGGGTACCCCACTAATACTGAACCTTGGGGTACCCAACTAATAACACTGAACCTTGGGGTACACCACTGACAACAATGAACCTTGGGATACCCAACTAATACCACTGAACCTTGGGGTACGCTACTGACAACACTGAACCTTGGGGTACCCCACTAATACTGAACCTTGGGGTACCCCACTAACACTGAACCTTGGAGTACCCCGCTGACAACACTGAACCTTGGGGTACACCACTGACAACAATGAACCTTGGGGTACCTCACTAAAAACACTGAACCTTGGGGTACGCTACTGACAACACTGAACCTTGGAATACCCCACTGACAACACTGAACCTTGGGGAATGCTGACAACGCTGAACCTTGGGGTACCCGACTGACAACACTGAACCTTGGGGTACCCGACTGACAACACTGAACCTTGGGGTACCCCACTAACACTGAACCTTGGGGTACCCCACTGACAACACTGAACCTTGGGGTACCCCACTAATATTGAACCTTGGGGTACCCCACTAATAACACTGAACCTTGGGGTACGCTACTGACAACACTGAACCTTGGGGTACCCCACTAACACTGAACCTTGGAGTACCCCACTGACAACACTGAACCTTGGGGTACCTCACTAAAAACACTAAACCTTGGGATACACAACTGACAACACTGAACCTTGGGGTACCCCACTAACACTGAACCTTGGAGTACCCCACTGACAATACTTAACCTTGGGGTACCCCACTAACACTGAACCTTGGAATACCCCACTGACAACGCTGAACCTTGGGGTATCCGACTGACAACACTGAACCTTGGGGTACCTCACTAAAAACACTGAACCTTGGGATACACAACTGACAACACTGAACCTTGGGGTACCCCACTAACACTGAACCTTGGAGTACCCCACTGACAATACTGAACCTTGGGGTACCCCACTAACACTGAACCTTGGAATACCCCACTGACAACGCTGAACCTTGGGGTATCCGACTGACAACACTGAACCTTGGGGTATGCCACTGACAACACTGAACCTTGGGGTATGCCACTGACAACACTGAACCTTGGGGTACCCCACTAACACTGAACCTTGGGGTACCCCACTGACAACACTGAACCTTGGGGTACCCCACCAACACTGAACCTTGGGGTACACCACTGACACCCCTAGACCATGCACAGTATGAATCATTAACCACAACTCTCTGAATACGATCTTTCAGCCAGTTTTCTATCCATTTACATTCAGATTTCTCCAGCCCATAGACTTCATCTGACACATTAGCCATGTGGGGGGAACAATTTAGCAGAATCCAAGTATATTATATCCACCACCACTCCTTCGTCTAAGGTTTTGCTTACAGTGCCTTGAAAAAGTATTCATACCCCTTGGAATTTTCCACATTTTTCATGTTAGAATCCCTAACATAAATGTATTTTATTGGGATTTGATGTGATAGAGCAGGGGTGTCAAACTGGTGGCCCTCCAGCTGTTGCCAAACTACAAGTCCCATCATGTCTCTGCCTTTGGGAGTCATGCTTGTAACTATCAATCTTGCAATGCCTCATGGGACTTGTAGTTTAGCAACAGCTGGAGGGTCGCCAGCTTGAAACCTGTGTGATAGACCAACACAAAGTGGCACATAATTGTCAAGTGGAAGCAAAATGATAAATGGTTTCCAACATTTTTTTTTTTTTTTACAAATAATGAAGATGGATGGAGCCTAATACAGGGCGATCTTAGAAGAAAACCCGTTAGAGTCTGCAAAAGACTTGAGACCGGGGCGGAGGTTCCCCTTCCAGCAGGACAACGACCCGAAACATCCAGCCAGAGCTACAATGGAATGGTTCAGATCAAAGCATATTCATGTGTTAGAATGGCCCAGTCACAGTCCAGACCCAAATACAATGGAGAATCTGTGGCCAGACCTGAAAATTGCTGTTCCCAGACGCTCTCCATCCAATCTGACAACTTGAGGGATTCTGCAAAGAAGAATGGGCAGAAATGTCCCTCTCTAGATGTGCAAAGAGACATCCCCAAAAAGACTTGCAGCTGGAATTGCAGCCAAAGGAGGTCCTACAAAGTATTGACTCCGGGGGGCCGAATACAAATGCCGCCACGCTTTTCACAGATTTATTGGTCACAGATGTTGGAAACCATTTCTCATTTTCTTTCCACTTCCCAATTATGTGCCACTTTGTGTCGGTCCATCACATCCAATCCCGATAAATACATTGACGGTTTGGGTTTCCAAAATGTGGAAAATTTCAAGAGGTATGAATACTTTTTTAAGGCGCTGTATGCAGCCTCTCTGTGGGTGGAGCTTGACGCCGAGAGGTCGCATATATGCGTACCAAAGTGTAAACAAACCTGTGCCGAGAGCCTATGCCCTGTGCGTTCCCCGCACTGAATGGAAAGCTCCGGGTCACTACTTGTGATCGGGGGCTTTACTATCATGTGACCACTGTGACAGCCAATCATAGCATGATCGTAAACTCCGCCTGGCTCCCGCATCTGAAACCCCTAAAGGACTGGGAGCCGCTGGCGTTAAGATCATTTGTGTTGGGGGGGGGGGGGGGGAGGAAAGCACGGTCTGCAAAGAGGGAGCCTTACACCTGCCATAGAAGGTCGACTTTAACTGCTTCCGAGCCGCCCTAGAGCAGAAATACTGCTACAGGGCGGCACGGGTGCGCAAAATCACTTATATATACGTGATTTTGCAGTACCGGGGTAGGGGGCGCATGTGCCGCCATTCGCGCCCTCGGCTGTCAATCCCCGGGTCCCACCTGGTGATTCCCTGCCGGCACCCGGCGATCTCCAAGTATTATCAATGGGGGAGAGATCTGTATGTAAACAATACAGATCTCTCCCGTCAGCTCCTGCACACTGCTTTGTATGGCTCTGCATAGCAGTGTGCTTACAGTGTAAAGCCCCCATAGTAAAACAGCACACAGTTAAAACAGAGTTCCACCCAAAAGGGGAAGTTCCGCTTTAATGCTTTGTCCCCCGCTCCCCATTAAGGATTGGCACCTTTGGGGAGCGGGTACCCAAATTTGACAGGTACCCGCTCCCACTTCTGCTGCGATGTCCTAGGCGATTGGAAGCGGAAGTCATCCACCCCCCCCCCTCCCCGTGGTCTTCTGGGACACGTGACACGATCACAGGAGGAGCAGCGTATATAGTGACTGGCTGTCACTATAGGTTGGTGCCGGTTTTTAAATGTAATTGCCGGCTTTTTTTTTTTCTTCACTATAGCTAACAGAATCAGCTGTCGCTTTCCCCACAGCTAAAAGAAACAAAGTTTCCTTTTAGTTTATTTCTCCGAGTTAAAAGAAACAAAGTTTAATTTCGGTTTATTTCTCAAGATAAAAGAAACAAAGTTTCCTTTTAGTTTATTTCCCGAGTTAAAAGAAACAATGTTTCCCTTTAGTTTATTTCCCAAGATAAAAGAAACAAAGTTTCCTTTTAGTTTATTTCCCAAGATAAAAGAAACAAAGTTTCCTTTTGCTCCAGGGAAAGTGACAGCTAATACTGTTAGCTATAGTTAAGAAAGAAAAAAAAAAAAAAGCCGGTAATTGCATTTAATAATCGGCACCAACATACACTTCATATTGCGAAAAAATTTTGTAAATTGTCAATGGATTTTCATTCATAAACCAAAAATTACGTTAACCGAGGCGTTCGTAAACCGAGGTACACATGTATACTCAAACCGGTACAAGTTGAATGATTGGCTGGGAGGAGTAACTGCATTTTGCAAAAATTTATTACAATAGAAAAAAAAAAGAGGCTCTTACTGTACACACTCCGTCCTTCATTATCGGTAGCGAGAAATCAGAGGAAAAATCCAGTTCTTTCAAAGTTGTCGTCTGGCAGTTGATATCCTGAAAGAGGGTGAATGAACAAAAATGAAACCCCAGAAAGTAAGAACCAAGGAGTGAGCGAGGTGCCCAAGTGTGACCTGTACTACAATACACAGACACCACCTGCGCATGAGTGTGGTGGACAGTAGTTTGCACTTCACATGCACTTATCTGCATCTACCAGAGATAACCTGGGACTTGCTGCCCTCTAAAGGACCGGGGTTGTCCTATTAGTAACTGTAAAACTCAAGCAAGAGCTGGCGCACCAGCCTAGCGTGTTATCCCATGGAAACTTTATTAAAAGATCAGTAATATCTATCTATTATCTATCTATTATCTATCTATCTATTATCTATCTATCTATTATCTATCTATTATCTATCTATCAATCAATCAATATCTATCTATTATCTATCTATCAATATCTATCTATCAATATCTATCTATCAATATCTATCTATCAATATCTATCTATTATCTATCTATCAATATCTATCTATAAATATCTATCTATTATCTATCTATCTATCAATATCTATCTATCAATTTCTATCTATCTATTATATATCTATTATCTATCTATTATCTATCTATCTATCTATCTATCTATCTATCTATCTATCTATCTATCTATTATCTATCTATCTATCTATCTATCTATCTATCTATCTATCTATCTATCTATCTATCTATCTATCTATTATCTATCTATTATCTATCTATCTATCTATCTATTATCTATCTATCTATCTATCTATTATATCTATCTATCTATATATCTATTATCTATCTATTATCTATCTATCTATCTATCTATCTATCTATTATCTATCTATCTAATCTATCTATCTATCTATCTATCTATTATCTATTATCTATTATCTATTATCTATCTATTATCTATCTATTATCTATCTATTATCTATCTATCTATCTATCTATCTATCTATCTATCTATCTATTATCTATCTATCTATTATCTATCTATTATCTATCTATCTATCTATCTATCTATCTATCTATCTATCTATCTATCTATCTATTATCTATCTATTATCTATCTATTATCTATCTATCTATCTATCTATCTACATCTATCTATAATTTATTTATTTCAAATATATTTTTTCACACATTTTTATTTTTATATTTATATATAAAGAATTAAAAATAACAATGTTTCCTTTTAGTTTCTTTCCCGAGATAAAAGAAACAAAGTATCCTTTAGCTCCAGGGGGGAATGTTTCGTATTGCAAAAAATTTGTAAACCGAAACGCGGTTTCCCATAGGAATGCATTGAAAACCAATTAACCCGTTCCGGAGGTCAGAAAAAAGGACCAAAAAAAAAGTATTTAACCTGTTCAAAACCTTTTTTATAAAGTGCACTTTAAAGGCATAAATACTAGGGATACACACCAAAATTTCTTGCCCAAAAGTAGCGCCGATAGGAAAAATTTAGTCAACATAGGTGCCGATACAGGGGACTGTGTGTACTGCAGATGTGAGGGGGGGGGGGGGGCACGGTGGAGTAAGGCAGGAGAGGAGCAGTGTATACAGTGACTGGCTGTCACTATAGGTCAGTGCCAGATTTGTAATTACCGGCTTTTTTTTTCTTCACTATAGCTCAGAGAATCAGCTGTCACTTTCCCCCCAGCTAAAAGAAACAAAGTTTCCTTTTAGTTTGTTTCCAGAGATAAAAGAAACAAAGTATCCTTTAGCTCCGGGGAAAGTGACAGCTAATTCTGTGAGCTATAGTGAAGAAAAAAAAAAACCGGCAATTGCATTTAAAAATCGGCACCGACATACACTTCATATTGCGAAAAAAATGTGTAAAAAATTCATAAACCGAGGCATTATTTTCAATGTTTTAATTTGTTTGTTTTCTTTGGTTTTTTTTGTACATTTTGTATTTTTTAGGTTTTTTTAGATTATTTTTTGTGTTTTTGTTTTTCTATTTTTTTTGTTTTGTTTGCTTTTTTGTTTTTTTTTTTCCTTAACTTTTTTTTTTGTCTGAGTATATATATACAGGTGTACCTCGGTTTACGAATTTAATAACGCATTCTCCAGGACGTTTTGTATTGCGAAAAATTCGTAAACCAAAATGCGGTTTCCCATAGAAATGCACTGAAAACCAATTAATCTGTTCCGGAGGTCCGAAAAAAGTAAAAAAAAAAAAAAAAAGTTACTGTCACTATAGGTCAGTGCCGGTTTTTAAATATAATTACCGGCTTTTTTCTTCTGCACTATAGCTCAGAGAATCAGCTGTCACTTTCCCCCCCCAGCTAAAAGAAACAAAGTTTCCTTTTAGTTCATTTCCGGAGTTAAAAGAAACAATGTTTCCTTTCAGTTTGTTTCCAGAGATAAAAGAAACAAAGTATCCTTTAGCTCCGGGGAAAGTGACAGCTAATGCTGTGAGCTATAGTGAAGGAAAAAAAAAAAGCCGGCAATTGCATTTAAAAATCGGCACCGATATACATTTCGTATTGCGACAAAATATGTAAAAAATTTCGTACACCGAGGCATTATTTTAATTCGTAAACTGAAAATTACGTTAACCGAGGCGTTCGTAAACCGAGGTACAAAAAAGTTAATACACTCCTGCATCACAGAACAATCTCCAACCCAGGTATGAAATGCTGCTGTGCACCAGTGTGAAACACCAAATCAAAAACAAAAATATAAAACAGGCGCAAAACAATACCTAAACCAAATAAATATAAAGTAAAAATATATTATAGTGTGCAAAAAAAAAAAATATTATTATATATATAATTGTGTCCACAACAACTCAAAAATATAAAATTCAAAATCCTTCCTCCCAGACTCCACAGTGCTTTGACAAAGAAATATTCTTCTGTACATATATGCTTCCACCATCCACCAGTGCAAACCGACATAAACCGCACTCACCAGATAATGGTGAATAGTAGGGGGTGTAGGATCCCTGAAAGTCCTAAAAGGCAAGACGTAGGGACAGCAGATCGGAAGTGCGTCGACGCGTTTCGCCCCTCCCACTGGGCGTTCTCAACTTGATGGTGGAATGGAGGTCTGGAGGCTATAGAGGGGGTGCAGGATCCCTGAATGTCCTAAAAGGCAAGACGTAGGGACAGCAGATCGGAAGTGCGTCGACGCGTTTCGCCCCCCCCACTGGGCGTTCTCAACTTGATGGTGGAATGGAGGTCTGGAGGCTATAGAGGGGGTGTAGGATCCCTGAAAGCCCTAAAAGGCAAGACGTAAGGACAGCAGACCGGAAGTGCGTCGACGCGTTTCGCCCCCTCCCACTGGGCGTTCTCAACTTGACGGTGGAATGGAGGTCTGGAGGCTATAGAGGGGGTGTAGGATCCCTGAAAGCCCTAAAAGGCAAGACGTAAGGACAGCAGACCGAAGTGCGTCGACGCGTTTCGCCCCTCCCACTGGGCGTTCTCAACTTGATGGTGGAATGGAGGTCTGGAGGCTATAGAGGGGGTGTAGGATCCCTGAAAGCCTAAAAGGCAAGACGTAAGGACAGCAGATCCGGAAGTGCGTCGACGCGTTTCGCCCCCTCCCACTGGACGTTCTCAACTTGATGGTGGAATGGAGGTCTGGAGGATAGAGGGGGTGTAGGATCCCTGAAAGTCCCTAAAAGGCAAGACATAGGGACAGCAGATCGGAAGTGCGTCGACGCGTTTCGCCCCCTCCCCCTGAAAGTGGGCGTCTCAAACTTGATGGTGGAATGGAGGTCTGGAGGCTATAGAGGGGGTGTAGGATCCCTGAAAGATCTAAAAGGCCTACTATTCACCATTATCTGGTGAGTGCGGTTTATGTCGGTTTGCACTGGTGGATGGTGGAAGCATATATCACAGAAGAATATTTCTTTGTGAAAGCACTGTGGAGTCTGGGAGGAAGAATTTTGAATTTTATATTTCTGAGTTGTTGTGGGACACAATAATATATATATATATATATTTATTTTTTATTTTTTTTTTGGACACTATAATATATATTTACTTCATATTTATTTGGTTTAGGTATTGTTTTGCGCTGTTTTATATTTTTTTGTAAACCGAGGTACGCCTGTGTATATATTATACTTAGATTTATTATTTTTCTATATCATCCCAAAATGATACTTTGTTCTTCATTCTTTAAAAGGGGGAGGTGGGGGCTCAGACAAGGGTAGCCCAAAAGGAATGGGGGTCGTCCATAAGGGGTGTACAGGTGAGAGCTGAACTGGTTATGATTAAAAAAAAAAACAATAAAAAATAAATCTCCAAGATATTTTTCTGCAGTAATGATCACACGCATTTTCTTTATTGTATTATTACTGAACCAGGAAATGCTCATTTGTGGCAATAAATGAACCTAAAAAAATAATTACGGTGTGTCAAAGACCCTTCCCTCATAAATGACATACTTCGATAAAAAAAAAATCACCGTTAAATGTTAATTGCTCGGCGTTTATTGAACACGGGATGAACATGTTCGGCATGAGCGCCCGGAAAATAAAGTCAATAAAAGTAATTTTTTGCTTAAAAAAAAAAAAAATCTGATAATTTAACGGTTCGTGACGCTGTGACCTGAACCATGAATGCAACTGGTTTAAGATTTAAAATATGGCGCTTTAGATGGCTTCAGCATAACTATTTATTTAGTATGTTTATAGCACCAACATATTCCATAGCACTGCACAGATCTTTCAAACCATTTCAGCTAAAAGCAGAACTCCAACAAAAATATGATGATGATGAATGGCCCATAAAAGATAAAAAAAACTGAAACCTGCTTTTGCTGCTAAAAAAATTTAGCTTTAATCAAGAGGTTTCCTTGTAATACTTTTTTGTGCCTCTAGATGTCCTCAGTCTAATGGCCAGCAGCTTTCAACCCACTTCCTCTGAGCTGAGGTCATCCCGGACCAGCCCCCAACCTGTGACTGGACAGTGAAAGGAGAAGATGCACAGTGATGAGCTCATCTCTCTGCTGTCTCCTCTTTTCAGCACATACACTGATTGGCTCACTGTACTGTTTCCAGCTCTCCTATACTAAGCTCTGCTGTTAGAGGGCGTACAGGTTCACATTAAATTATTTTTTCATGACAGGTTAGCTTTGAAGCTTTGAATGGCCTACTAAAGATACAAAACTGAAACCTGCTTTTGCTGCTAAAACATTTAGCTTTAATCCAGAGGTTTCCTTGTAATACTTTTTTCTGCCTCTAGATGTCCTCAGTCTAATGGCCAGCAGCTTTCAACCCACTTCCTCTGAGCGGAGGTCATCCCGGACCAGCCCCCAACCTGTGACTGGACAGTGAAAGGAGAAGCAGCACAGTGATGAGCTCATCTCTCTGCTGTCTCCTCTCTTCAGCACATACACTGATTGGCTCACTGTACTGTTTCCAGCTCTCCCATTCTAAGCTCTGCTGTAGAGAGAGTACAGGTTCACATAAAAATTATTTTTTCATGACAGGTTAGCTTTGAATGGCCTACTAAAGATACAAAACTGAAACTTGCTTTTGCTGCTAAAAAAATTTAGCTTTAATCCAGAGGTTTCCTTGTAATACTTTTTTCTGCCTCTAGATGTCCTCAGTCTAATGGCCAGCAGCTTTCAACCCACTTCCTCTGAGCTGAGGTCATCCCGGACCAGCCCCCAACCTGTGACTGGACAGTGAAAGAAGCACAGTGATGAGCTCATCTCTCTGCTGTCTCCTCTCTTCAGCACATTTCTTGTCAGCACATACACTGATTGGCTAACTGTACTGTTTCCAGCTCTCCCATTCTAAGCTCTGCTGTAGACGGAGTACAGGTTCACGTTAAATTATTTTTTCCTGGCAGGTTAGCTTTGATGGCCTATTAGGGATACAAAACGGAAACTTGCTTCTGCTGCACATTCAACTTTAATTAAGACGTTTCCTTGTAATACCTTTTTTTCTGCCTCTAGATGTCCTCAGTCTAATGGGCGGCAGCTTTCAACCAACTTCCTCTGAGCTGAGGTCATCCCGGACCAGCCCCAACCTGTGACTGGACAGTGAAAGGAGAAGCAGCGAAGTGATGGGCTCATCTCTCTGCTCTCTCCTCCTATCAGAATGCTTATCAGCAGATGGACTGATTGGCTTACTGGGAGAGGGAGAAACAGTACTTTCTGAGCTCTGCTTTACAGGGACTCCAAGAGGCTGATACAGGTCACAATCAGGCACTTACTTGCTTGTTTTTAAAAAATACATTTATTGATGCATTACTGAACACTCTCTTGAGAAGATGAGATTAAGGGGGGATATGATCTCCATGTATAATACATAAGGGGGATGTGATCTCCATGTATAATACATAAGGGAGGATATGATCTCCATGTATAATACATAAGGGGGGATATGATCTCCATGTATAATACATAAGGGGGGATATGATCTCCATGTATAATACATAAGGGGGATATGATCTCCATGTATAATACATAAGGGGGGATATGATCTCCATGTATAATACATAAGGGGGGATGTGATCTCCATGTATAATACATAAGGGGGGGATCTCCATGTATATGATCTCCATGTATAATAATACATAAGGGGGTATAATACATAAGGTATGATCTCCATGTATAATACATAAGGGGGGGTATGATCTCCATGTATAATACATAAGGGGGGGATATGATCTCCCATGTATAATACATAAGGGGGGATATGATCTCCATGTATAATACATAAGGGGGGGTGATGATCGCCATGTATAATACATAAGGGGGGGATATGATCTCCATGTATAATACATAAGGGGGGATATGATCTCCATGTATAATACATAAGGGGGGATATGATCTCCATGTATAATACATAAGGGGGGATATGATCTCCATGTATAATACATAAGGGGGGATATGATCTCCATGTATAATACATAAGGGGGATATGATCTCCATGTATAATACATAAGGGGGGATATGATCTCCATGTATAAATACATAAGGGGGGATATGATCTCCATGTATAAATACATAAGGGGGGATATGATCTCCATGTATAATACATAAGGGGGGTATGATCTCCATGTATAATACATAAGGGGGGATATGATCTCCATGTATAATACATAAGGGGGGGATATGATCACCATGTATAATACATAAGGGGGGATATGATCTCCATGTATAATACATAAGGGGGGATATGATCTCCATGTATAATACATAAGGGGGGATATGATCTCCATGTATAATACATAAGGGGGGGGATATGATCTCCATGTATAATACATAAGGGGGGGATATGATCTCCATGTATAATACATAAGGGGGGATATGATCTCCATGTATATATACATCAGTGGTTCATATAGTGAACTCGGTGTAGTTATTCCCCCTGAGGTCATCACAGAGGACAAGGGGGCGCTCTTTACGTCTGGAGGAAAAGAGATTTAATTTCTAAACACGGAAAGGTTTCTTCACAGTAAGAGCGGTGAGAATGTGGAATAGACTCCCTCAGGAGTTGGTTGTGGCCAGCTCAGTGGATTGCTGTAGGAAAGTCCTGGATTGTTTCTTGGATACACAGAATATAACTGGATGTAACATTTATAGGTGACGTTGATCCAGGGAATATCCGATTGCCTCTCGGGGGATCAGGAAGGAATTCTTTTCCCTGCAGCAGCAAATTGGATCGTGCTTTGCTGGGTTTTTTTTTCCTTCTTCTGGATCAACTGTGGGTGTAGGATTATAACTTTTTTTTTATGGTTGAACTGGATGGAATTTTGTCTTTTTTCAGCCAGACTAACTATGTAACACAAGGATTTTTAATGACCCTTTTTTATATCTGCCTATAGTTCAGCTTTAATGTTTCTAAAGGCAGAGCATATTTTGTACATTTTGGATATAAGGACTGCTAAATCCAACAAGTTTTTTTTTTTTTTTTTTACAATGGTAACCACTACAAATATAAAGAGTGAATCTCCTCAGCATAGACACTACTCCACTAAAAACTAAAATAAATACCTTTTTTTCTGCATCTAGATGTACTCAGTTTAATGGCCGGCAGCTTTCAACCCACTTCCTCTGAGCTGAGGTCATCCCGGACCAGCCCCCAACCTGTGACTGGACAGTGAAAGGAGAAGTAGCACAGTGATGAGCTCATCTCTCTGCTCTCTCCTCCTATCAGAATGCTTGATTTTGATATACTTGAAGTATGGCACCCAACATGACTCATCCTCATGCAGGAGAAACCAAATCTGCCTCGCTTTTCCTAAATTTCACCAAATATGTCAATGGCAGCCTCCAACTCACCAAGCACCAACTCCTACAGTGACGATTCTTTAGGTTTGTGGAATCTAGTAATAGAGACTAAAGACAGATAAAAACACTCCGTGAATAAGGCGAACGTTCTCCATGGTTACCTTTATAATAAATGGATGGGAAATGACGGTGTCCGGGTTCACAACCTCCACTACAGTCTCCGGTAGGACGGCTTTCTTCATACAAGACATGTTAAATCCGTAGACGTCATCCCAGAAGGCCAACTTCCCGGCATGCCTCTCCAGATCACACAACGCCACCAAGCTGATGGTACAACGGTCCGGGTACACTGAAAGAGACACAATTGGTTACCAATCAGGAGGAGGAAATAGATACATGGACACATGGATCTGTCATAATTTTATAACCACTGCCAGGTAAGTGAATAACATGGATAATCTGGTTACAATGGCATCTGAAGGTCAGTGGGATATATTAGGTAGCAAGCGAACATGTTGCCCATGAAGTTGATATGCTGAAAGCTGAAAAAAAAAAACAGGCATCGCAGTTTGTTGTGTATGGGGCTGTGTAGCCGCAGACCGGTCAAGGGTGCCCATGATGACCCGTGTCCACAGCCAAAAGCACCTACAATGAGCAGGTGAGCCTCAGAACTGGACCACAGAGCAATGGAAGGTGGCCCGGTCTGACTAATCACGTTTTCTTTTACACCATGTGGATAGCGGGGTGCGTGTGCGTCACTTACTTGGGAAAGAGAAGCCGCCAGGATGCAGTATGGGAAGAAGATAAGCCGACGGAGGCAGTGTGATGCTTTGGCCAATGTTCTGCTGGGAAACCTTGGCTCCTGCCATTCAAGTGGATGTTACTTGACACGTCCCACTTACCTAAAAACACTGTTGGTGACCAAGTCCACCCCTTCATGGAAACAGTATTCCCTGAGGGCAGTGGCCTCTTTCAGCAGGATAATGCACACTGCCACACTATAAAAATGGTTCAAGAATGGTTTGAGGAACACACCATGAGGTGTTGACCTGGCGACCAAATTCTAGAGATCTCAATCCAAATCGAGGATCTGTGGGATTTGCTGGAAAAACAAGTCCGATCCATGGGGGCCCCACCTCCCAACTTAAAGGACTTCAAGGATCTGCTACTGATTGCATGCATCCATGTGTCAGGGATGTTTAGGTGACAAGAGTTGGACCTACTCAGTATTAGGTGGGTGGCTGCATGATTTGCGTTCGGCCAGCGCCAAGAGGGTAAGAGGGCACCAAGTCTTCTAGGCATGGGATGAACAAGTTGGCGACGTATTGCAACATCGATCTTTTTCCATTCTTCAAGATTGACCTCTTTTAGATCCTAGATGGGGATTGATGGTCAACTTGTCTCTTCAGAATTCCCCATAGGTGTTGGATTGGATTAGATCAGGAGACATACTTGGCCACTGGATCACTTGCACCCGGTTCTTCTTCAGAAATGCCACAGTGGCCTTAGATGTGTGTTTTGGATCATTGTCATGTTGGAAAAGTGCACGACGACCGAGGGCACGGAGTGATGGGAGCATCTTCTATTTCAATATAGAGCAGTACATCTGTGCATTCATGACACCATCAATGAAATCAGCTCCCTGACACCAGCAGCACTCATGCAGCCCCACAGAAGGACACTGCCACCACCATGTTTCACAGTAGGCACCATGCATTTTCATTTGTACTCCTCACCTTTGTGATGCCATACAGTTTTGCAGCCATCAGTTCCAAAAATATTGATCTTGGTCAGAGTACAGAGTCCCAGTAGTCTTCTTCTTTTTCAGCATGGGTCCTGGCAAATTCTAGGTGGGTTTGTGTGTGGGCTTTAGGAGAGGCTTCCTTCGTGGACGACACCCATGCATGCCGTTCCTCTGCAGTGTATGCCGCATTGTGTCACGGGAAACAATCACCCCAGTTTGGCTTTCTACTTCTTTAGCTGACTGCAGTGAACTTGCATGGCAATTCTCTTCAACCCTTCCCATCAGAAGACGCTCCTGTATTGGTGTTAACCCCATGGACGGCCTGGACGTCTCTGTGAGATGGTTGCAGTTCCATCTTTGTATCACTTTTGCTACCGCATTCTGACGGATAAGTAAAGCTTTGCTGATCTTCTTGTAGCCTTCACCTTTCTTGTGTAAAGAAATGATGTCCTTTCTCAGGTCTTGTGACATTTCTCTTCCATGTGGTGCCATTGCTGACAGCATTAAATTGGGGTGGGTTTTCTTTGTTCGGCAACGCCCTTTTATAATCACCTGTCTGCTGGACGCCTGTTTAATGAATAATTAGACTCACCTGAAGCTTAATTCTTGTTAATTAGGATTTTGTTGTCTAAAATGTAGCTTTGGTCCTAAGACTTTCATTGGGGTGTGTTCATTTTTGCAGCGTGGTCTTGGATGAATTTGTTAGGAAAAATACTTTTTTGTGTGCAAATGAACAAATCTTGTTTGCGACCAATGGCGGGCATATGTGGGAGGAGTTTGTAGTATAGTGTCCCATAGAAAATGTGGATTGTGAAAGGAAAGGTTTTGTGACCAATCTGTTGGGGTGGACTCATATATGCTGAGCACTGAATCAGTTATTAGGCGTATTTTGACTTTTCTGCCTTTCCTTGAACGTTTTTACGACGATTCATTTCAGGAACAATCAGCGCATTCAAATGTGGCAATAAAGGATCTTTATGGAGCAGAAAATACAAATATCACTGAGGGTGACCTACACAGAGAGCGGAGCGCCCGCGTCTGGCACCACCTAAATCTTCCCGGCAAAGTAGGACTCTGTAGAGGCGGCTTGAAGGATCAATCCACATCGGATGAGTCAACAGAACTCGGCTTAACGTAGATCCGAACCCAATCACTAGACTCATACCAATCCAACTGTCATTTTATTAACCCCTCGCCTACCGGGCACTTCTACCCCCTTCCTGCCTACTGGGCGCTTCTACCCCCTTCCCGCCTACCGGGCGCTTCTACCCCCTTCCCCCCCTACAGGGCACTTCCCGCCTACCCCTTCTACCCCCCTTCCCGCCTACAGGGCGCTTCTACCCCCTTCCCAACAGGACGCTTCTACAGGGCGCTTCTACCCCCTTCCCCTACTGGACACTACCCCCTTCCTGCCTACTGGGCGCTTCTACCCCCTTCCCGCCTACAGGGCACTTCTACCCCCTTCCTGCCTACACTTCTACCCCCTTCCTGCCTACCGGGCGCTTCTACCCCCTTCCTGCCTACTGGGCACTTCTACCCCCTTCCTGCCTACTGGGCACTTCTACCCCCTTCCTGCCTACTGGACACTTCTACCCCCTTCCTGCCTACTGGGCACTTCTACCCCCTTCCTGCCTACTGGGCACTTCTACCCCCTTCCTGCCTACTGGGCGCTACCCCCTCTACCCCCTTCTGCCTACCGGGCGCTTCTACCCCCTTCCCGCCTACCGGGCGCTTCTACCCCCTTCCCGCCTACCGGGCGCTTCTACCCCTTCCCGCCTACAGGGCACTTCTACCCCCTTCCCGCCTACAGGGCGATTCTACCCCCTTCCTGCCTACAGGGCGCTTCTACCCCCTTCCCGCCAACAGGACGCTTCTACCCCCTTCCCGCCTACAGGGCGTTTCTACCCCCTTCCTGCCTACTGGGCACTTCTACCCCCTTCCTGCCTACCGGACACTTCTATCCCCCTTCCTGCCTACCGGGCACTTCTACCCCCTTCCTGCCTACCGGGCACTTATACCCCCTTCCTGCCCAGGCCAATTTTCAGCTTTCAGTGCTGTCACACTTTGAATAACAATTGCGCGGTCATGCAACACTGTACCAAAATGAAATTTTTATCTTTTTTGAGGCAGATAGAGCTTTCTTTTGGTGGTATTTAATCACCTCTGGTATTTTTTATTTTTTGCTAAACCAAAAACAACTGAACATTTTGAAAAAAAAAAGTTTTTGTTTTAAAATTTTGCAAATAAGTGATTTTTCTCCTTCACTGATGTGCGCTAATGAGGCTGCAGTGATGGGCACTGATAGGTGGCACTGATGAGGAGGCACTGGTAGGTGGCACTGATGGGCATTGACAGGCATCACTGATGGGCACTGAAAGGCAGCACTCATATATGGCACTGATAGGTGGCACTGATGGGCATTACTGATGGTCACTGAAAGGCAGCATAGTGCCATAGCACTGATAGGCGGCACTGACTGGCGGCACTAATTGGCACCACTGATAGGTGGCACTGATAGTTGGAACTGAAATGCAGCTCAGATGGGCACTGATATGTGGCATTGATGGACACTGACAGGTGGCACCGCTGGGGATACACTGATCATCAGGGCATACTGATCATCAGTGCCCTAATGATCAGTGTAGATGTCCCCTCTGAGGAATGCCGATTACCGGCTCTCCTCTCCTCTGTCAGTGTGACGGCTCGTGAGGAGAGGAATGCAGATAACCGGCATTTCCAAATTTACACGCGATCAGCTGTGATTGGACACAGCTGATCACATGACCGAGCCGACATCTTTGGCTCTTTTTGTTGATTGGTGATCTGCTGTGTCCGAGGGAAACAGCGCACCACCGATCGCCGCGCACCCCCGGAGCCACACACGCGCGTGGTTAGAGTGGGAGGACGTCATATGACGTCCTCCCAGAACGAGAGAACCGCCTTGTGCCCATCATTTCCTTATATGGCGGGCGGGAGGCGGTTAAAATGATCCCTGGTGATCCTGCCATGAAAGTCGTTGTTGAAGCACTTCCTGTTATAGGGTGACAACATTCTGTCAGTTTCTCCTAGTTGTCCTCCTGTGTTGTCACCCCATCTGATGGAGACTAGGACTGGCTGTTCCATCACACGTTACACAGACATGGTCCATTGTGGTCACCATCAGGAAACCTGCCTCGAGAAATGCCATGCAGGAATGCCTGTAGATCGGAGGTGGCTGGAAAGAGGATGCAGGAGACTAGCAGAACCGAGATGTAACAAAAAGGTGACAACGACCGGGGCTTGGAAAATTCTTCAGACGCTTACAATAATAATATGGAGATACAAAATACATTCTGAAAAGCTGGAAGGTTCTGGATGGGGCTGGGTGTCACTGTGGGGGGTGGAGGTCCTAGAGGCGGTTAGAGGACTCTGCAGCTGCCTTGGTGGCTCTATTGGGGGAAGCTGGGGTCAACTGTAGGGGATAGGATCTATGGAGGGGGCTGGGGGCTTTGCAGGGGCACTTTGGGAGGTTGGGAGCACAATGGGGGCTGAAGATTCTGCAGAAGGTTGGGAGGCACAATGGGGGCTGAAGGTTCTGAAGAAGGTTGGGGGGCACAATGGGGGCTGAAGGTTCTGCAGAAGGTTGGGGGGCACAATGGGGGTTGAAGGCTCTAAAGACGGTTGGGGGGTACAATGGGGGATGAAGGCTCTGCAGAAGGTTGGGGGGGGGCCAGGTAAGAAGCTGGGAGGCACTGTGGGAGGTTGGGGAACACAGTTGCAGGTTGGGAGGTATAATGGGGGGCAGAAGGCTCTGCGACAGGCTGTGAGGCACATTCAGGGTATGGGGGGCACTGTTGGGAGGTTGGTGGCACAAATTGGGGGCTGAAGGCTGTGGCCGTGGGGAAATGACAGGGACTGGGGGGCACAAAAAGAAGCTGGGCGACACTGTGGGAGTTTGGGGGACACTGTTAGAGGCTGGGGGCACAATAGGGGGCTGAAGGCTCTGCAACAGGCTGTGGGGCATTTCCAGGGGCCCGGGGGCACTGTTGAAGGGAGGGGGCACAATGAGGAGCTGAAGGCTCTGCAACAGGCTGTGGGGCATTTCCAGGGGCCCGGGGGCACTGTTGAAGGGAGGGGGCTCAATGAGGAGCTGAAGGCTCTGCAACAGGCTGTGGGGCACTCCTATGGGTTTCACGCCACTGTAAGAGGTTGGGGGACACAATGAGGATCTGAAGGCTCTTAAAAAGGTTGGGGGACACTTCTGGGGGCCCAGGAGCACCGTGGAAGGCTGGGGGCCACTGTGGGACACTGTTGGGTGTTGAGGGCACAATGGGGACTAAAGGCTTGGCAGCAGGCTGGAGGGCACTGCCAGGGGTTGGGTGGCACACTGGGAGGTTCAAGAAGACTGTGGGGGCTGAGAGCTCTCAGGGGGCCACTATGGGAAGTTGGGTGCTGGAAGGAACTCAGAGGTTAGGGGATCTGTAGGTGGCTGGAGACCTGAGAAGGGGGGCGGCGGCCTGAACTAGGGGTCACCCTACACACCAATCAGGATGGCCCTTGCACTGCATAGTTGATGGATAGCAGATCTAAAAGGAGATTGTGCCGTGTGGGGACCCTTAGAACCGCTGAGCATGCCGTCCGCTTCCATTTACCGCACGTCACCTCTGGACGCGGCTTCTGCAAATCAATTACGTCGTTATCCCCGCCCAGCAGGTGAAAGAAAAAAAGATGAATAATTATTTCCCCTCGCAGGTAAAATTAACAAACTGCTGATTGGACAGAAGACGCGGCTGGCGGCCTCTCTGCAGATTCCCGGCTCTGACATCTGCGTCCTTCTCGACTCAGCGCTCCGCCATCATTTGTCACCGGTAACAATTGTGGTGGAGGGAGGCCGGCCCTTCGTGAGAACGTGTCACAAACCGCACACCGGACTCAGGAGGGGAGGAAACCCAACGCCGGGTACTGACCCCACCGAGCATCACAACTGAGCGTCACTGACCCCGCCGAGCATCACCACCGCGCCGAGCGTCACCCACCCCGAGCGTCACCACCGCGCCGAGTGTCACCCACCCCGAGCGTCACCACCGCGCCGAGTGTCACCCACCCCGAGCGTCACCACCGCCGAGCGTCACCGACCCCACCGAGTGTCACCACCGCACTGAGCGTCACCACCGCACCGAGCGTCACCGACCCCGCCGAGTGTCACCATTGCGCCGAGCGTAGTCACCACCCGCGCTGAGTATCACCGACCCAGCCGAGCGTCACCGACCCGGCCGAGTGTCACCACCGCGCCGAACGTCACCGACCCCGCTGAGCGTCACCACCACACCGAGCGTCACCGACCCCGCCAAGCGTCACCAACCCCGCCGAGCGTCACCGACCCCGCCGAGCGTCACCACCACACCGAGCGTCACCGACCCCGCCGAGCGTCACCACCACACCGAGCGTCACCGACCCCGCCGAGCGTCACCGAGCGTCACACCACCACACCGAGCGTCACCGACCCCGCCGAGCGTCACCACCACACCGAGCGTCATCGACCCCGCCGAGCGTCACCACCACACCGAGCGTCACCACCACACCGAGCGTCACCGACCCCGCCGAGCATCACCACCACACCGAGCGTCATCGACCCCGCCGAGCATCACCACCACGCCGAGCGTCACCACCACACCGAGCGTCACCGACCCCACCGAGTGTCACCACTGCACCGAGCGTCACCGACCGACCCCGCCGAGCGTCACCACCACGCCGAGCGTCACCGACCCCGCCGAGTGTCACCACCGCACCGAGCATCACCGACCCCGCCGAGTGTCACCACCACACCGAGCATCACCACACCACACCGAGCGTCACCGACCCCGCCGAGCAGCCGAGCATCACACCGACCCCACACCGACCCCGAGCATCACCGCACCGAGCGTCACCGACCCCGCGTTGTCACCGACCCCAAACGCCGAGTGTCACCACCGCACCGAGCGTATCCCGCGTTGTTACATATCACTGCTATATACAATGTAACATTTACACCAGAACTGATTAAAGTGCACCTGTCATCAGATATTTGTATTTATAGCAACTGCAGTAATGTGTCAGTGACACCCTTCCAGAACACCCCCCCTCCCCCCCCCCCCCCCCCCCCCCCCCCCCCCCCCCCCCCCCAGCAATGTCTTCATGTGCCTTTGTCTCTAGAAGGACGGAGCCAGCTTTGTTCTGGCATCATCCAGGGTCACCATCTACTTCCTGGACTGAGTTGCCAGCTCAGAGGTGACAGTCCTACAAATCCTGGTGTGCTGTGTTCACAAATGTCTGACGCAGATCAACCCCTGCTGCAGCCTCTCACCTTGTGACAAAGTTACAATGTACAGTCTGATCACTGGGGGAGGAGAGACTGAGGAAATGCCTTCTCCTCCTCCTACAAAGTTACAATGTACAGTCTGATCACTGGGAGAGGGGAGACAGGAAATGCCTCCTCTCCTCCTTCTACAAAGTTACCATGTACAGTCTGATCACTGGGGGAGGGGACTGGGGAAATGCTTACTCCTCCTTCTACAAAGTTACAATGTATAGTCTGATCACTGGGGGAGGGGAGACTGTGGAAATGCTTCCTCCTCCTTCTACAAAGTTACAATGCACAGTCTGATCACTGGGGGAGAGGAGACTGAGGAAATGCTTCCTCCTCCTTCTACAAAGTTACAATGTACAGTCTGATCACTGTGGTAGGGGAGACTGAGGAAATGCCCCCTCCTCCTTCTACAAAGTTACATTGTACAGTCTGATCACTGGGGGAGGGGAGACTGAGGAAATGCCTCCTCCTCCTTCTACAAAGTTACATTGTACAGTCTGATCACTGGGGGAGGGGAGACTGAGGAAATGCCCCCTCCTCCTTCTACAAAGTTACAATGTATAGTCTGATCACTGTGGTAGGGGAGACTGAGGAAATGCTTCCTCCTGCCTGCAGCAGACCGATGACATCATCTCAGCCTAGGCAAAGTCTCTAGACTGGAGCTCTAAGAAAGCTTTTTTTAGGGCCGATTGACAGCAGAACGTGGCGTGAGAAAAGCGCATTTCCCGCATCTCGTTCAGAACGCAGCGCCTGCATCGTCTGTGGATTAATCGCATCGCAAACGCAGATCCTGAATGCAGCGCATTTGTGGGCGCCAGATCGCACGGCACCGCTGGTGTGGCGAGTCTTTCGGTTGTGTTCGGATTGGTTTGCTTGCGTTTTGCAGCCGATTCACATGAAGGAGCCTACGATCGCACTGCAGGGGAACGCACGGAAATCAAACACGCACTGCGTTTCCGTGCAATTCGCGTGCGAACCGGTCCTAAATGACAAAAGACGGAGCTCATTCAAAGGATTCAAGAACGTCTCGCTTGCTAATTTTGGCTATATTTTAATTTTTTCACCAAGAGATTGCGTCCGCCCCAAGACAGGCAGACTCACTGCGGGGGAATCAATTGCGCCAATTTAAAAAAAAACGCATGCACTGGGAAGATTCACCTGCAGCGAATGTTTGGTGAAAGTCGCAGTCTGTCCCAGAGAAGGGGAATAAAAAAAAAAAATAAAACCTACAAAAATTCTCAAAGCGGTTTCATCCCGAGACACGTCTACAAAATCCCGCAGCGGCGTGACGCGCGGCGCTCGGAGACGGAATCGTCTTCCCTACGCTGCCCACACGCGTGACAGAGACGAGGAGGAAAATGAACAATTACCAGCGTGTAACGTCGGAGGGTGTAATTGAATTCTTTGCTTAATCCCAGGCGCTGCCTTTTGTTCGGCGGCAGCACAATGGCGCCGCGGTGATGAACGCGTGCAATGAAAAGTCATTAAAGCGATGCAGTGCGTCATGCTACAATAGACTCCAGAGCCGGGCTGAGGGGGGCCGGGAGAGGACTGCATTGAGACGTGTCAGCATTAAACGGAACACAGCCAGCCCCACCGCCAATCCCGGAAAAATCTGATGTGTGAGAGAGTCGGGGGAAAAAAAAAGAAAAAAGAAAAAAAGGAAAAGAAAAAAAAAGAAAGAAAAAAAAGAAGAAAAAAAAAAAGGAAAAAAGAAAAAAAAGATAAAGAAAAAAAAGAAAAAAGAAAAAAGAAAAGAAAAAAAAAAAAGAAAAAAAAAAAAAGAAAAAAAGAAAAGAAAAAAAAAAGAAAGAAAAAAAAAAGAAAAAAAGAAAGGAAAAAAAAAGAAGAAAAAAAAAAAAAAAAGGAAAAAAAAAAAAAGAAAAAAAAGAAAAAAAGAAAGGAAAAAAAAGAAGAAAAAAAAAGAAAGGAAAAAAAAAAAGAAAAAAAGAAAAGAAAAGAAAGAAAAAAAGAGGAAAAAAAGAAAGGAAAAAAAGAAAAGAAAAAAAAGAAAAGCAAAAAAAAAAAAAAAAAAAAAAAAGAAGAAAAAAAAAAAAAGGCCGCAATGACTCCCGGCTCACTCGTGCAAGAAAAAAAGAAAAGAAAAAAAGAAAAGAAAAAAAAAAGAAAGGAAAAAAAGAAGAAAAAAAAGAAAGGAAAAAAGTAAAAGAAAAAAGAAAAAAAGAAAGGAAAAAAAAAGAAGAAAAAAGAAAAAAAAGAAAAGAAAAAAAAAAGGAAGAAAAAAAAAAGAAAAAAAAGAAAAAAAAAAGAAAGAAAAAAAAAAGAAGAAAAAAAAGAAAGGAAAAAAAAAAAGAAAAGAAAAAAAAAAAAAAAAAAAAAAGTAAAGAAGAAAAAAAAAAAAAAGGCCGCAAGGACTCCCGGCTCACGTGTGCAATACAGAACCTTTTCCTGTCCCCAGTGATGGGATACAGGCGTAGTCCGTTCTCTTCAAAGTGAGTGTCTACAAAGTATACAAATAAAGTAAATACAGATTTAAAAAAAAAAAAAATTAATACAATACATACATATATTTGTATACTTTGTAAAAAAATAAAAAATAAAAAAAAATTAATACCATACATACATATATTTGTATACTTTCTTTTTTATTTAATATTTATTTAATATTTTATTTTCTATTTTATTTGTATATCATTTGTATTTATTTATTTCATTATTTTTTTTGTTTTACTTTTTTCAAACTATATTTATTGTATTTGTTTAAAAAAAAAAAAAAAATGAATAACTTAAATGCAAATGATATACAAATAAAATAGAATACAAAATATGAAATTAATAATAAAAAAAAAAAATATACAAATGAATAAAATAAATACAAATAAAATAATTAAAAAACACAATAAACTAAGTACAAAGATGCAAATTAATTAAACTACAAATAAAATAAACATACTGTAAAATAATAAAATGAATAAATACAAAGTAACCAAATACAAGAAATAAAATGAAACAAATGAAATAAAATAGCTAAAAATAATAAATACAAATGAAATCAACAAATAAATGAAAAAGAATAAATAAAAAGTATACAAATACTATGCAAAAAAATTAATACAAATAAAGCAAAATAAAAAAAAATTGAAATAAATTGAAATGAAAAAACTCATAAAATAAATAAAAAATAAATACACAAACTACACTAAAAAAAATAATGAATAAAAAAATACATAAAATATTAAGACGAATAAAAAGTACACACATGCACTATACAAATAAAATAAAAAAAAATAATAGAGGAGCCAAGTCAACACCTCAAACTTGTGTTCCTCAAACCATTCTTGAATTCATCAGACCGGGCCACCTACTTCCATTGCTCTGTGGTCCAGTTCTGATGCCCATTGTAGGCTCTTTGGCTGTGGACACGGGTCAGTATGGGCACCCTGACTACACCGCCCCATACACAGCAGACTGCTCTGTGTGTTCTGACACCATTCTACCAGAACCGGCATTCAGCAATTTCAGTTCCAGTATCTCTTCTATTGATTCAGCTCAGCCTTCCCATCCCGTCTCCATCCATGAGCCTTCCCATCCCGTCTCCATCCATGAGCCTTCCCGTCCAATCTCCATCCATGAGCCTTCCCGTCCAATCTCCATCCATGAGCCTTCCCGTCCAATCTCCATCCATGAGCCTTCCCGCCCCAATCTCCATCCATGAGCCTTCCCGTCCAATCTCCATTCATGAGCCTTCCCGTCCAATCTCCATCCATGAGCCTTCCCGTCCCCAATCTCCATCCATGAGCCTTCCCGTCCAATCTCCATCCATGAGCCTTCCCGTCCCAATCTCCATCCATGAGCCTTCCCGTCCAATCTCCATCCATGAGCCTTCCAGTCCAATCTCCATCCATGAGCCTTCCCGTCCAATCTCCATCCATGAGCCTTCCCGTCCAATCTCCATCCATGAGCCTTCCCGTCCAATCTCCATCCATGAGCCTTCCCGTCCAATCTCCATCCATGAGCCTTCCCGTCCAATCTCCATCCATGAGCCTTCCCGTCCCATCTTCATCCATGAGCCTTCCCGTCCCGTCTCCATCCATGAGCCTTCCCGTCCAATCTCCATCCATGAGCCTTCCCGTCCAATCTCCATCCATGAGCCTTCCCGTCCAATCTCCATCCATGAGCCTTCCCGTCCAATCTCCATCCATGAGCCTTCCCATCCCGTCTCCATCCATGAGCCTTCCCGTCCAATCTCCATCCATGAGCCTTCCCGTCCAATCTCCATCCATGAGCCTTCCCGTCCAATCTCCATCCATGAGCCTTCCCGTCCAATCTCCATCCATGAGCCTTCCCGTCCAATCTCCATCCATGAGAACTTCAGGGACAACATGTTCCCTCGCTGCCTCAAACCCCGCCCACTTCCAGGTGTCATTGTCATGAGATGGCCAATGTCAATGACATTGCCTGTCAGCGGTCATAATGTTATGGCTGATCTGAGTATACTACTGATAGTGTGTGACTGTGGGGGGGGCATTAGAGTGTAAGCTCCTCTGGTACAGAGACTGATGGGACTGTGGGGGAGGAGACATTAGAGTGTAAGCTCCTCTGGTACAGAGACTGATGTGACTGTGGGGGAGGGGACATTAGAGTGTAAGCTCCTCTGGTACAGAGACTGATGGGACTGTGGGGGAGGGGACATTAGAGTGTAAGCTCCTCTGGTACAGAGACTGATGGGACTGTGGGGGAGGGGACATTAGAGTGTAAGCTCCTCTGGTACAGAGACTGATGGGACTGTGGGGGAGGGGACATTAGAGTGTAAGCTCTTCTGGTGTAGAGACTGATGTGACTGTGGGGGAGGGGACATTAGAGTGTAAGCTCTTCTGGTGTAGAGACTGATGTGACTGTGGGGGAGGGGACATTAGAGTGTAAGCTCCTCTGGTACAGAGACTGATGGGACTGTGGGGGAGGGGACATTAGAGTGTAAGCTCCTCTGGTACAGAGACTGATGGGACTGTGGGGGAGGGGACATTAGAGTGTAAGCTCTTCTAATGTAGAGACTGATGGGACTGTGGGGGAGGGGACATTAGAGTGCAAGCTCTTCTGGTGTAGAGACTGATGTGACTGTGGGGGAGGGGACATTAGAGTGTAAGCTCTTCTGGTGTAGAGACTGATGTGACTGTGGGGGAGGGGACATTAGAGTGTAAGCTCTTCTGGTGTAGAGACTGATGTGACTGTGGGGGAGGGGACGCCATGGACAGCGGAGGGTTGGCGCCGTTCTCTGCCATGTTCTGGGGTGGGGGGGGATTCCCATACAGACCTGCTCCGCCGGGCGCCAGGAACTTGTCTCTCGCATGGATGACGGAATCCAGCATGGACTCGAACAGGAGGAAGTAGCCCTGCGGGAGGAAACACAACCCGGTGAGAGCGCCTCGTGACTGCACTTACTGCGACGGCTGCAAGATACAACAGAGACGCCATGATGATGGAGGAGTCCTGCGCATGACATGCGTTATGGTCTGCCCTTCATAAAGGGAACCTGTCATCACATTTCTCCATCCAATGTGTCTGTGTAACCCTTCCATGTATTACCTCTCAGAGATCCCAGCACTCCCCCCTGACAATGCCTTCACCTGCTTCTCTCTCCAGAAGGGCGGCGCCACCTTTGTTCTGGCATCATCCGGCGTCACCACCTACTTCCTGCACTGAGAGATGACACAATCACATAAATCCTCCTGGCTGTGGAGTTCTCGGCTGTGTTCACAAATGTCTGACACAGACCAGCCCCCTGCTGCAGCCTCACATTGTGACTTGCTACAAAGTTACAATGTACAGTCTGATCACTGGGGGAGGGGAGACTGAGGAAATGCTTCCTCCTCCTTCTACAAAGTTACAATGTAGAGTCTGATCACTGGGGGAGGGGAGACTGAGGAGATGCCTCCTCCTCCTTCTACAAAGTTACAATGTACAGTCTGATCACTGGGGGAAGGGAGACTGAGGAAATGCTTCCTCCTTCTACAAAGTTACAATGTACAGTCTGATCACTGGGGGAGGGGAGACTGAGGAAATGACTCCTCCTTCTACAAAGTTATAATGTATAGTCTGATCACTGGGGGAGGGGAGATTGAGGAAATGCTCCCTCTTGCTCTTGCGTGCAGCAGACTGATGACATCATCTGAGCCTAGGCAGAGTCCCTGATTGGAGATCAAGGCTGGCTTTTGAATGCTAAATGGTGGAGGTGTTCTGATCCTGGTGCTGTATAGGTGTCATCAGGACAGGAAGTTGGGGGAAGTCACCATGGGGGGACACAGGTTTGGGCGGGGTGATCGGGTTCTAGAGCCGGTTCCGGTTGTTCTGCTGAAAGCCGGAGAGGAGCTGTGAAAGGTGTCAGGCGTGGCGCGGACGTTTGCTCACATAATGGAGTGCGGCTGTCAGGTGCAGGAACGTTGATCAGACTGGAGCAGCAGCAGGGGGCGATCCTCCTGAGCCCCAGTCCAATGTCTACCCTTTGCTGCAAGCAGGAGGAAGCATTTCCTCAGTTTCCTTTCCTTCTGTGCATTGTCTCTGGTGAAACACAGGGGAAATCTTCCACTTTTACAAATAAAAAGTCACCCTCCAGCTTTAGCCTGTGAATCTGCCTAGGCTGAGATGATGTCATCAGTCTGCTGCAAGCAGGAGGAAGCATTTCCTCAGTCTCCCCCTCCCTCTGTGATTAGACTGAACATTGTAACTTTGCAGAAAGTCACAAAAGGAAAGTCTGCATCAGAAGCTATCATCTGGAGCTCTTTAGTCTAGGCTAAATTGATGTCATCAGTCTGCTGCAGGCAGCATGAGGCATTTCCTCAGTCCCCTCCTCCATGATTAGACTGTACATTGTAACTTTGGCAAAAGGTGAGAGGCTGCATCAGGGGCTGTCTTCTTGAGCTCTTTAGTCTAGGATAAATTGACTAAAGAGAGATCCGATTCCGCACATCGCACCGCGTTTTGCAAACTGATTTCGGGGTGTCGTAACATACACCCCCGCAGTGGTTCGCATGAACGGGGGGCGATTGTGAGGCGGTGCTGAAACCGCAGAGAGACCGGTGCGAATTCCACGCCGCATCAGTGTGAACCCGGGCTCAGGGGGAGTCCTGTGATCTCTGTGAGAGGGAGCACATGCGAAAGCTAGTAGGAGGAGTTTTCATTTTGCTCTAGGAGGATGCTGAACCCCTGACCCTCTGTCTGGACAGTGCTCATTGGCCCTGTGCTGATCACACGTACTCTCCCAAGAAAAAAAAAAACAAAACGCTCTAGCAACCCACATGGAAGAAAAATATATTTAAAATACTACAATTTTGGCCTTATTCATATAAATATAAATATATTTAATAAAACCAAAAAAAAAAAAAATATATAAATATATATATATACACACACAACAACCTCCTCGATCCCCTGCAGTCCGGCTTCCGATCCCCTACACTCCACCGAAACTGCCTTACTCAAACTCTCCAACGACCTGCTAACCGCCAAAGCTAATGGCCACTATTCAGTGCTCCTACTCCTTGACCTCTCTGCGGCCTTCGACACAGTTGACCACCCCCTCCTCCTCAAAAAACTACACTCCCTCGGCCTCAGAGACTCCGCCCTCTCCTGGCTCTCATCCTACTGTCACAACGCTCCTTCAGTGTTACCTATAACACTTACCACCTCCCCCTCACTCCCCTGTTGGGGTCCCCAAGGCTCTGTCCTCGGGCCCCTCTCTTCTCCATCTACACCTCCTCCATTGGCCAACTCATACTCCCACGGCTTCAACTACCACCTCTATGCCGACGACACACAAATCTATCATCTCAACCCCCCACCTCACCCCCTCAGTCTCCACCCGAATCACACACCTACTGAGCGACATATCAGACTGGATGTCGCTCCACTTCCTTAAACTGAAATCTTCTCCAAAACCGAGCTCCTAGTTTTCCCCCCCCCAGCCCGTGCCCCCCCCCCCCCCCCGACCTCTCCATCACGACCAACAACGCCACCATCAGCCCACCCCGCAAGCCAGAGTACTAGGCGTCATTCTAGACTCCATTCTGTCCTTCCAGCCCCAGGTCCAATCGCTGGCAACTCATGCAGACTCCACCTCCGCAACATCTCCAAAATCTACCCATTCCGAACCCCAGAAACTACTAAACAGCTCGTACACTCCCTTATTATATCACATCTGGACTACTGTAACTCCCTCCTCATCGGCTTACCCCACCGCAGGCTATCCCCGCTTCAGTCCATCCTGAACTCAGCACCAGACTCATCCACCTTACCAACCGCTCCGCTTCTGCCACCCCCCTCTGCCATTCCCTACACTGGCCTCCACTCAGTGTCCTCCATCCCTCTCTGCCAATCCCTCCACTGGCCTCCACTCAGTGTCCTCCACCCCTCTCTGCCAATCCCTCCACTGACCTCTACTCAGTGTCCTCCATCCCTCCTGCCAATCCCTCCACTGGCCTCCACTCAGTGTCCTCCACCCCCCTCTGCCAATCCCTCCAATGACCTCCACTCAGTGTCCTCCATCCCTCTCTGCCAATCCACTGGCCACTCAGTGTCCTCCATCCCTCTCTGCCAATCCCTCCACTGACCTCCACTCAGTGTCCTCCATTCCTCTCTGCCAATCCCTCCACTGACGTCCACTCAGTGTCCTCCAATCCTCTCTGCCAATCCCTCCACTGACGTCCACTCAGTGTCCTCCACCCCTCTCTGCCAATCCCTCCACTGACGTCCACTCAGTGTCCTCCACCCTCCTCTGCCAATCCCTCCACTGGCCTCCCGATGCCCAACGGATCAAATCAAATGACTAACATTGACTCCAAAGCTCATAACTCTGCCAATCCCTCCACTGGACCTGATACCCAAATCCACTCAAAATGCAATCCCTCACTCCCCTCCTCACTGCAAAACCCTCCATCTCTCCAATCCCTCCACTGGCCTCCACTCAGTGTCCTCCCCTCTGCTGCCACCCCTCCACTTCCGTGCCCTCCATCCTCTGGAACTCCCTCCCTCCAAAACCAATCCCTCCACTGACTCCACTCAGTGTCCTCCATCCCTCTCTGCCAATCCTCCACTGGCCTCCACTCCCAGTGCCCTCCACCCCTCTAGCCAAGCCTCCACTGGCCTCCATGTCCTCCATCCCTCTCTGCCAATCCTCTCCACTGGCCTCCACTCAGTGTCCTCCATCCCTCTCTGCCAATCCCTCCACTGACCTCCACTCAGTGCCTCCACCCTCTCTGCCAATCCCTCCACTGGCTCCTGCCAACTCACTGGCCACTCCATCCCACTGTCCTCCACCCAAAATGCACACTCCTCCATCCAACCTCCTCACAAAACCTCCTACAGTCTCCAGGACTTCTCAGGGCCCCCCATCCTCTGGAACTCACTACTCCAATCCATCAGACTGTCACCTCCCCTCCTCACCTTTAGGCGCACCCTGAAAACCCATCTCTTCAGGGAAGCCTACCCCGCCCTCACCTAATTGCCGATCTCCTCCACTCCTCCTACCACTCCATCCCCGCTTCAGTCTATCCTGAACTCAGCAGCCAGACTCATCCACCTTACCAACCGCTCCGCTTCTGCCACCCCCTCTGTCATTCCCTACACTGGCCTCCACTCAGTGTCCTCCACCCCTCTCTGCCAATACCTCCACTGGCCTCCACTCAGTGTCCTCCACCCCTCTCTGCCAATCCCTCCACTGGCCTCCACTCAGTGTCCTCCATCCCTCTCTGCCAATCCCTCCACTGGCCTCCATTCAGTGTCCTCCATCCCTCTCTGCCCAATCCCTCCACTGACCTCTACTCAGTGTCCTCCATCCCTCCCTGCCAATCCCTCCACTGGCCTCCACTCAGTGTCCTCCACCCCCCTCTGCCAATCCCTCCAATGACCTCCACTCAGTGTCCTCCATCCCTCTCTGCCAATCCCTCCACTCAGTGTCCTCCACCCCTCTCTGCCAATCCCTCCACTGGCCTCCACTCAGTGTCCTCCATCCCTCTCTGCCAATCCCTCCACTGGCCTCCATTCAGTGTCCTCCATCCCTCTCTGCCAATCCCTCCACTCAGTGTCCTCCACCCCCTCTCTGCCAATCCCTCCACTGGCCTCCACTCAGTGTCCTCCATCCCTCTCTGCCAATCCCTCCACTGGCCTCCATTCAGTGTCCTCCATCCCTCTCTGCCAATCCCTCCACTGACCTCTACTCAGTGTCCTCCATCCCTCCCTGCCAATCCCTCCACTGGCCTCCACTCAGTGTCCTCCACCCCTCTCTGCCAATCCCTCCAATGACCTCCACTCAGTGTCCTCCATCCCTCTCTGCCAATCCCTCCACTCAGTGTCCTCCATTCCTCTCTGCCAATCCCTCCACTGACCCACAGCTATCTCC